AGAAGAAAATGCAAGTTGGATGTGCTGGTGCAAGCCTGTGCTCTCAGCTCCTCAGGAGGCTAAGGTGGGAGAATAATTTTGTCAGTGGTGAAGGAGCAGATACACAGGTTTGTGTGGCCACCTCAACCATTATCACTAAAGGACCTCAACAAGGTCAACTCAGGGTTCGATGAAGAAAAGAATTTTAGGAATGGCCAGTTTGAAGCAGAATTGAGAATTAAAGCTATTTGAATATAGGTTTAATCATGAGGTTTAGGGAAAAGACCCAAGGAGAAAAGAGAAAGTAGAGCATCTACAATAGCATGGCTGTTGGCTTCTCTAAGTGAGGGTTGTGGAAGTTAAGACACCGGGAAGTGTTAAAGGAACAGTGACAACTGTCTTTACTTGTCACATATACTACTTTGTTGTCTCTCAAGTTATTTTTCAAAAGGCTGCAAGAAACTTGTCTTCTCTTTATTTTGGTGAGTGAGGGGAGGTGGCTTGGGGATGCCATGGATGAGATTTGATAATGTAAATTAGGGTAAAACCAGGAAATGCTGGGGTTGCCAGGATTTAGTGCTTGTTTTCATCCTGTAAATGGGGTTTCTGGTGAGAGTCCTAGAAAAATTCAGGTTTATAGCTGAGAAGACAGGAAGACCTTAAGTAGCCATTGAGATCTCAAGCAAGATGCTTCACTTGGTGAGGAAGTCCTTTCCTCTGCCTCCACAATTCCCTGTCTTTCTAGCCTTCCTGATTTCCCTTCTGAATCTTAAGGGATTCAGAAGGAGGAGGGCCTACTTTTTTATAGTTCCTTCGGACTTAATAGGGATGCTGAGCCTACCTATTCAAGTACCAAGTCTCACCCTATCGAGACTAAGGGGCTATATATGATCTTGCTTAGAGACTGTCAGGCCATCATTTGAAGGGAATCTGGAAGACATGTCAGTACTCAAAACACCAAATCACATAAACAGTAACACATATAGTAGGTTGTTATGACTAAGATTAGCACTCAAAATAGCAAGGCCTCTTTATCATGTGTGCTAACCATGATATTAGTAAATGATTGAACTTAAGGCAGATTCAGGCAGATTTAATTTGGGTCTGTAAATCATAGTGAATTGAGGACACATTGCTCTTATGCTGTTGCCAGAGTATCAAGTGTGATCAGGTCTTGTGATATACCCATCCTCGTCTTAAGTTTTAAGAATGAGCCCCTAAACTAAAAAATACCACTTAAAATACTGAAAGCAATTTGTCTTTTTTTTTTAAAAAAAAAACTTTTAGCCCATCTCATCTTATTGTTAATAACATTTCAGTTGTGTGACTCATCTCATCTTATTGTTAATAACATTTCAGTTGTGTGACTATGTCCCATTTCAGTTTCCCTGAGAAGGCCTAGAAGACATAGTACCCTAGGAGCAATGAGTATGCCTCATCCCAACACTTAGGAGGCAGATAATAGCAGATCTCTGTGAGTTTGAGGCCAGCCTGGTTTACAGAGCTAGTTCCAGGATAGCCAGGGCTACACAGAAAAACCATGTCTTGGAAAACCAAAATTGAATAAATAGATTTTAAAAAGTCATAAATCTATAATGATGATGACATGTCATAAAGACACAAGAGTCACATGAATGTGCTTTAAATAGCCAAACCTTGAATAATCTGTACAAGAAAACTGTAGACAGAGTTTCTCTGTGTCTTGGCAGGCACTCTCAAATAATCCTTCATAAACTTATTAATTATAAATTGTTGGTCAATAGCTCAGGCTTGTTACTAGCTAACTCTTACAACTTAACCCATTTATATTAATCTGCATACTGCCATGTGGCATTACCTCTCTTTCATCTTGTACTTCCTGTTTCCATATTTCGCTGGAGACTCTTCTCTCTCTGTCCTTCTTCCCAGTGTCCTCTGTGTTTTGTTGTCCTACCTATACTTTCTGCCTAGCTATTGGCCAGATTTTTTATTAACCAGTGAGAGCAATACATTTTACAGCATGCAAAGTTTGTTCCACAACAGAAAACAACAGTATTGAGTTAAAACCTAAAAATTAAAAGTCTTATTAAAAGGTATTAAGAGTTAGAACTTCAACATTATGAATTTGGGGGATAGAATTCAGAATCTAACAGATACTATATTATGTTGTGGTTTCAAATTAATCCCCCAAAGCTCAGTGGTATGATGCAACAGAGTTTATTTCTTACTCATATAAAACCCAGTGAGCTGAGCAAGCTCCTAGGGAAGCTGCCCAATAAAGTAACTTGGAGACTCAGGCTGTTTACTGAATGTAGCTTCACAATGCTCTGGACTTGTTGTGGTAGCATAAGAGAAAGCTGGAGAGTTGCCCATGGTGCTTAAATGTCCTTGTCTGGATGAGTAAGTCCTCAGGACCATGTTGCTCACCAGTGGTGGGGATATAGCACTACCCTGGATTAACTGCATAATTGCAACCAAAGAAGAGATCCAAAGGGTAAATCATGTGGCACTGTCTTCTCAACCAACCCACACTGTCTCTGTTTTTTATTAAACAATGAACAGAGAAACGCATGCACCTAACAACAAACCTCCAATCTGTGACCTATGCTCACTGTCAGCAATTGCAACAAATGTAGTTTTCAGATCTACATTTACTATTATTATAATATATTGACCTTTATTATTATTATTATTATTATTATTATTATTATTATTAATATATATTGTTTGATGCAGAGTCTTGCTCTGTTACTCAGGCTGGCTTCAAGGCTTGACTGAGTGATCTCCGGTCTCAGCCTTTGGCCTAGCTGGGGCTGCAGGCATGTACCTCCATACCCACTTTTGGATTTATTTCAATTATAGAACTGTGCAAACACCTCAATCTAGAAGAAAGAATGAGTCTTCTGATGAGCTCAAAGAAGTTGGCTTCATAAACACAACACAACACAACACCACATTAACAAAGGAAACTGCCCTGTCATCTAGGATTGGAGCCCCCCAGAGCCATGCACCAAAATAAACCTTTTCCGTAAGTTATCCCCAGATGTTACACCTATGGAAAGCTGTCCAAGACTGGAAACAATGAAATGTGGATTCAAGGGTGGCTCTTCTACAGCATAGATAAGACTTAGTTATTCATCTCTAAATTTGTTTGCTACTTCCTGTTATTCCTCACACTTTGGACCCACTGTGTTAAATGCCATATGGTCATAGACAATCTCTCTCTCTCTCTCTCTCTCTCTCTCTCTCTCTCTCTCTCTCTCTCTCAATCAATCAATCAATCAATCAATCATCTATCTATATTGGTTTTTAGAGACAGGGTTTCTCTTTGTAACAGCCCTAGCTGTCCTGGAACTTGCTTTGTAAACCAGGCTGGCCTCGAACTTAGAGATCCACATGCCTGTGCCTCCTGAATGCTGGTATTAAAGGTTTATGTTACCACACCCGGCTAATTGCAGTATATTTTGTCACAAATTTTTTTAGGTCAACTATGTAGCCTAGGCTTGATCTTGAATTCATAATCTCTTGTCTTGAAGCCTCCCAAGGGCAGAAATTATAGGTGCACCCTACCATGTTGACATATTTTGTTTGCAATAAACCCTTAACTGATAAACTCATTCATGCTTTATATGCTTAGCCATTTGGAGAGTTGGTTGTGACTAGTTCTAGGCTAACAGTGGTCATCTGGCTTATGCCTTACTTATCATCAAATAATCTACAATTTCCAGGAGAAGGAAGGCATCCCCATAAGCACAGCACACAGGGAGGATTTAGAGCTTTTTGGACTGAACATATGGTCACCTCCACACAATTCACTTATCAGCAGCTTTACATTCTAAGTACAGCCCATTCTTCCCACTTCCATTTTGTTTCCTAGTTGACAGTCTCCTACTCAGCTGTAAACTGGGGACAGGAATTTGGACTCTGGGTTTGGACAGATGCAAGATACCTCTTTTTTCTCAGGACTTTGAGCTTTGTTTTAGATAGACGAAGAAAGGCTTCAGAAATCTCCTAGGTAGTGATGCTTGAGTTAGCACTCATAGAATAATGCTTTCCGGCTCTGTAAAAACTCACAGATGCCTCTAGAAGCCTGAAGACTGTCACTTCCTCCAGTAGGGTAGCAGGCTTCCACACCCCCAAGTCAGTTAACTGGCTTTTTTTTCTCACCCACTGTATTAATTGCTTATACACTATATTAATGGGAGATTAGTTCTGCCTTCTTGGAACACCTGTTGCCAGAAGGGGCAGGAAGATTCTCTCAGGTTGTAGCTGCTTTCCACAGCAAAATAACTGCACAGAAAAAATTCACCATTGCATCTTCTGTATGAATGTTGCTTTCAAGGTGATTTACAGAAACGAACCTGTTTGGGCTTTGCTGTATGCATCTAGATGTTTTGTCTCCTGATATCTGCTCTCTAGTCAAGTATGCAAAGTGAGCATTGTAGGGAGGAATGTGATTAGTTAAAGGGACTACTGCTAGACAACAGAAAATTGTGGAGTTATTGTGGGGATTTGGTTACAAATCTCTCGTGAATTAAAAAGAATACTCTTCAATGCACCGTGAATAAAGGTTATTGGATAAGTAAAATTACCAGTGGCTGAAACCTCTTCTGTACGGTGTGACTTAGGAAATCAAAATTGTTAGAAATAGTAAGAGCTGGGGATGAAACTCAGTGATAACTTCTGAGAGAATCCCTGGGTCCAAGCAATAGTACTGTGGAGGGGAAAAGTCACAAAGAATACCAATCTAGAGGTCAAATCAGGGAAGAGGAGACAAATGTGGACAAAGTAGAGTCACTAATAAATACATGTCTATTTACAGAAGCAGCAATATCCAGATGAAAATTCTAATGTATGAATTCTACGTGTACATACTCATAACATATCCAACCAGGATCTCTCTAGGTTAGGGACTGAGAGCAAAAAGAAACATACAAACAAACACGTTTTATCGCTTAGTTCCCGCAGCTTCCCCTTACCGGAAGGTTTCCCTTCCTCTATGCCAGAAGGTGAAGCCAGGCGGAGTCTAAGAGCAACCTTACCTAGCTAAGCTGGCGTCCCCCTAGCTGTGGGGTTGTGGCCCAGAGGGCCTCCGCTGCCCCGCCTTCCTAGCGCCCCAGGTCGCCCCAGCAACGTTTTTTTTTTTTTTTTTGCCTGGGGCGCGTCGGGCACGTGACCGGCGCGTCACGTGACCGGTCAGTCGGCGTCCTCTCGCTGGGTGGTGTATACTGCGCGCTGACCCAGCAGCCCTGCGGCGTCCGGCCTGTGTCATGCAGGAAGCGGGGCGCGGGTGGAGCTCGGCGCCCACCTGAGCTGCTTGCGCCGAGGTGCGGTGCGGCGGGGCCGCGCGCGCCCGGCCGCCAGGGGTGTGGCTGCTAGGAGGCCGCGACAGGTGGGTGCGCGGTGGTCTCGGCCCCGGAGAGGCCGCGTGCAGCGGGGCGGGGTCCGGCCATCCGATCCGCCCGCGGCCGGAAGCCCCCGGCGCTCTCAGGTGCAGTCTTGCTCCGGCTGGGCTGTGAGGACGTGCACCCAGCAGCCCTTCCTGCCTTTGCCTCCGCCACAGTTTCCACATCCGAGATGGAAACGCGGACTCCTGCTCTCTGAGTGCCTGACGTGGCGTCTGGAGAGTCCTGCTCAAGTAGAAACGCTGGAGGGAAAGCGTAGGTAGGCTGCTTTGCATTTTAATCGCCGCCCTGTTGCTTGTCGTTAAAAATTTATTTTTCTTGGAACCGAACGACATGGATTTATCTGAATCAAGTTTTTAATAGAGAACTTATTAGGGAGAATCATAATGGCTCATCTTCTCCCGTCTCTTTAACGCGATGAAACCTCCTTTTAAAAAGAAGAACGCTTCTCTGAAAGCCCATTCGAAAGAAAGAAAGAAAACCCTTTCCTGCCTCATTGCCTTCTCCACTTAAGGACACAACAGTGGTCGCACAGCTGTCAACATTTATTATGGAGTTGTGTTGGTTTTTGTCGTTATTAATTTGATGGTGTCTGAAGATAAATGTGATGTATGACCCTTCCAATTATTTTTCTCTTATTTTGTTCGATTACATGCTATGCAATTAGAGAAATAATTAGTATATAACTTATCTCCCGGAAAAAGCACCAATATTTCTGATAAGTCTCAGGAGAAGCAAGTGTGTGTTTGTATAGTAGATCTCACACCTAGTTGCCTGGTTAGTTACTCAAAATGGGAGTGGAATACTTCATTTAGAATACTCAAATCACGTTCTGTGAAAAAGAATGTGTGAGCTACACTTGTTAGAGTTATGGAATGATGTGAACACAATCTTCTGCTAAGTGTTGGAAATCTGAAGCAAGGGAATTTTGAATTTTGAGAGATTCAGTTGAGGAAAAATAACCCGTCTGATACAGTGAATGAATGTATGCCGAGTGTGAGGTAGTGGAGTACAGGCAGAGGCAGTTACCGGGGAAGTTAATAAAGAGCAGTGTGTACTTTCCGAACTTCTTGATTCCGGAGATTTTATTGATAAAATATGTACTGAAATTTGATGTTAGGAGGGGGAAACTGCTGGGCATGGTGGCACATGCCTGTGATCCTAGTACGGGGAGGGTGGAGGCAAAAAACACATTTTACAACATGTGTCCTTTGTGAGGGGCGTGGACAATGGAGGTCTAACATCAGTGCAACGCAGGTGGAGTATGTCTTCTTTTCCAAGATAATTCACTTTGCCATCACTTTAAGCTTAGGCAAACTGGATTTTGTTCGTTTTTTATTGTTGTTTTGGTTTGGTTTTTAGCTTCTGCTCTTGAGTGTAGAAATTGTGTTCCATGTCTTGGCTACAACTAGGATTAAAATACAGCATTCACAGTTAAATATGAATTTCAGGTAAACACAAAATATGTGGGACATACTTAGACTAAAAGCAAATTCATGGTTTATTTGAGAGCAAGGTTTAACTCTGCTTGCTCCTTCTTGTTGCTAAATATGACTGCTTCAGCTCCGACATATTTGTCTCACTTAAACAGCACTAGCAAAAGAGCAGCCCAAGGCCTAGAGAGGATGGAATTGATTCTCTTGTGAGGTTTCCCTATTGGGTGCTGCAGATGTGGCCCTGTAGCACGGAGAGTGTTCAGCACACACGGGGCCTTTGTCCAGTCTCCAACACCAAAACAAATAAAAACCAGAACAAAAAAACCCCAAGAATCCTCTTCACTATCAGTTGAACCACCTTCTTCTTGAAGGACATCACTTCTTCCCGTGTGTTCTATTTCCTCTTCTTCCTTTACTGGATGTTCCGTTTCTTCACTTTTCTAGGGATTGTACATAGGGTCTCATACATACTAGACAACAGCTCTACCACTGATCCACAGCCCACAGCCAGTTTTTTGTGTTTTTAATTTCATATATGAGTACTGTGTTTACATTATACCACTGATCCACAGCCACAGCCGGTTCTTTGTGTTTTTAATTTCATATATGAGTACTGTGTTTACATTATACCACTGATCCACAGCCACAGCCAGTTCTTTGTGTTTTTGCTTTTTTTTTTTTTTTCTGAGACAGGGTTTCTCTGTTTTTGTTCTTGTTGTTTTGCTTTTTTTTCTTTGTGTTTTTAATTTCATATATGAGTACTGTGTTTACATTATACCACTGATCCACAGCCAGTTCTTTGAGTTTTTAATTTCATATATGAGTACTGTGTTTACATTATACCACTGATCCACAGCCCACAGCCAGTTCTTTGTTTTTTTTTAATTTCATATATGAGTACTGTATTTACATTTCTCTCCCTCTTTTTATTCCTCCCTTGTGCTCCCAACTCCCTTTTAAATTCGTGGACTTTTATTCTTTATTATTGTTACACACCCATGCACACGTTTATGAATACAGCTTGTTGGGTCCCTTTAGTGTTGTTTATATGTATATGTGTTAAGCCTGACCATTGGAGGTTGGAGGATTGGATAACCTATCAGGGAGCTTGTCCCTGGAAAAGACTGATCTGCCCTCTTAGATTGATTGCCTGTAGCTCTTCATCCAAAGGTGGAGCCTTGTGAAACTTCCCCCATTCATGCTGGCATGTCAAAAGGTGCTGTCATTGTTCAGGTCTTGTTTAAGAAACCATACCGTTGAGATTTTGTGGCTGCAGCTTCCCTGTTATATACAGAAGCCAGTGTCTTGCAGCAGCAGACATCCCGACATCCTGGTCCTCTGGTTCCTACTGTCTTCCCACCCTCTCCTGATGTGTTCCCTGAGCCTTAGTTGTAGGTTGGGTTGTAGATGTGTCAAGCAGAGCTGCTGGTCACCATACAGTCAGCTGTTCTCTGCCTTTTGCTCAGTTGTGGCTTTCTGTGATGGTTTCTCTTTGTCACAAAATGAAGCTTCTTTGATGAGGGGTGGGACCTACACTTATTTGTGCTATGAGGATGAGTATTTACTGTGTAGTTAGAAATTATGCTGATTTACTAAAGTAGGTTCCCCTCTGTGATCCATGGACCTCACCAGTCAGGGGTAGTTGACTAGATTTGTAATATGAGACTTTACTCCTCCTGGTGGGCTGGCCTTAAGTCCATTAGATGGCTGTTGGTGAGTCTCAGTATGTCAGTGCCTTTGTTACTTTGCTGTTGCTGTGAAAAGACACCATGACCAAGGCGACTTGTAAAAGAAAGTATTTAATTGAGGGCTTGTTTATAGTTTTAGAGGGTGAGTCGGTGTCCGTCCTGGTGGGAGCATGTCAGCAGGGAGGCAGGCATGGCACACTGGAGCTGTAGCCGAGAGGTTAGATCTGATCCACAGGCGTGAGGTGCCTGTGCCTGGGGATAGGCAGACTGACTGTCTAGGCCTGGTGTGGGCTTTTGAAACATCAAAACCTGCTCCCAGTGATACAATTCTCCAACAAGGCCACATCTCTTAATCCTTGCCAAAACCATTCCACCAACTAGGGACCAAGCATTCATATATATGAGCCTATGGGGGGGGCATTCTCATTCAGACCACCACAGCCACTACTGCACCTTTTGGGATATGTGGCCAATCTGGTTTATAGGTGGTATAACTGGGTAGGATTATTGATCATTTCCCTCCATTGGCAGATTGTATAGCTCCTTCCAGTGCTGTGAGAGCTGGTCTTTAAGGAAGAGGTTTCCAGATCACGTCGAGCTTGATTCCTCCAAGTCCTGTGTCTGAAATATGTGCTGTCATCAGCAAAAAGGAGTTACCTTCAAATTCTGGGAGGCACCCAGGAGCAGTGGCAATAGCCTGTATTGTTTTGGGGGTCTTGGGCTCCTCTGACGAGCATCTCCAGAGGGAATCTTCCATGACTGACACGGGTTGGTTAGGCAGCCTGTAGTGTCACTCCAAGTGGCAGAACTTCCTTTAAACCAGCACACACATACGCACATACATTGATGTGTATCTGTGTAATTTTAAGTGAACATAAAACAGTCTGCTTCCCTCTGTCTCTTTCAAACATCCTTGATGTGATTTCTCTCTCTTCCCTCCTTCTGCCTGCGTATCGTTCTGGTTTTTCCAGCATGGTTTGTTGAAAACACTGTATTTTCTCCATTCTATATATTCCATTGCTCTGCATTTCTGTTTTTGTGCCAGGACCATGTTGAGTTTTTTTTTTTTTTTTTTTAATGATAGTTCTGTAACATATCTTGAAGTTTGGAGTGGCAGTTCCTCCAGCATCATTATTTGTGTTCAGGATTGCTTTGGCTAGTCAGGGTCTTTTGTGGTTCAATATGAATTTTAGGATTTAAAAAAATTTTTCTGGGAAGAATTTCATAGGGATTTTGATGGAGATCACATTGAATCTGTAAATTGCTTTTGGTAGGATGATCATTTTCACAATATCTGTTCTGCCAGTCTAAGAGCAGGGGAGGCCTTCCCATTTAGTGCATTTCCATTCTCTTTATTTAGAGACTAAAGTTGTTATTGTAGAGGTCTTTTACCTCCTTGGTTAGGTTTATTCCTAGATTTTTATTTTCATTGAAGGTCATGGGATTGGGCCCATGATCTATCTATCTATCTATCTATCTCTCTCTCTCTCTCTCTCTCTCTCTCTCTCTCTCTCTCTCTCTTAACTGTTGTTGGTGTAAGAAAGGGTACTGAATTTTGTAAGTTGATTTTTGTGTCCAGCCATTTTGCTGAAAGTGTTGATTATTTCTAGAAGTGTACTAATGAAATTTTGGGGATGGCTTATGTATACTGTACCAACTGCAGATGGGTAATTTGATTTCTTTCCTCTTAGTTTTCCTTTAATTTTGTTGTCTTGGTTTATTTTAGCCAGTGCTTTGAGCACTGTCTTGAGAAGGAGTAGGGATAGTGGGTAGCCCCATCTTAGTCTGATTTTAATGTATTGTTTCGAGTTTTTCTCCATTTAGGATGACGTTAGTTTTAATTTGAAGTCTATTTTGTCATGTTAGGATAGGGTACTTGGCTTGCTTCCTGGTCCCCATTTGCTTTAAATGTTGTGTCCGTTTGCTTTATATTGGTGTGATAACAGCATGACCAGAAACAGCTTGAGAAGAAAAGGGTTCATTTCGGTTTATAGCTTAAAGCGCGTTGTGAAGAGAGGCCAGGATAGGAGTCAAGAACTGAGGCAGAGGCCATGCAGCAGTGCTGATGACTGGCTTGCTTCTGGTGGCTTGCTCAGCCTGCTTTACTATAGCATCCAGGACTACTTGCCCTGGGG